GTGGCGCAGTCGGTTGGGCGTCCGACTTCAGCCAGGTCACGATCTCGCGGTCCGTGAGTTCGAGCCCCGCGTCAGGCTCTGGGCTGATGGCTCAGAGCCTGGAGCCTGTTTCCGATTCTGTGTCTCCCTCTCTCTCTGCCCCTCCCCCGTTCATGCTCTGTCTCTCTCTGTCCCAAAAATAAATAAACGTTGAAAAAAAAAATTTTAGATTTCTATTTTTTCACTTACTTTGTAAATCCTTTTCCATGTCTGTAATAGTCATTAGTTTTAATGACCCGAAAGTTCTCCAGTTTATTTATTTGTAATCTCTACACCAGTGTGGAGCTTGAACTCATGACTGTGGGATCAAGAGTCATGTGCTCTGCCAACTAAGCCAGCCAGGCACCCCATAATGACAGCAAAAGTGCTAATAATTTTATGTCATACTTAATTTATTCCCCTATAATTATATGTTTTCCATTTTTAAGTACTGTGTAATGTTGCTGTAAATAGAATATGTATATATATACATATATATTTCTTTTGAATTATTTTCTTGAAATATATTTAATTGTGATTTCTTGGCAGAAATAAACAGATATTATACATTTACTATTATATGGAATTTTTGGTTTTGCAGAAACAGCCTGTGGCCTAAAACTTTTGAGAATGGTTGATATCTATAATAAGTCAGCAAAAATTTTAATGTCTTTACAGTGATCAAAAGTTATATTAAATGCACTTTTGCCTTCCAGACTTTACAATTTGAGTGGGCGGGCTAACCAATTTGCCCTTGGAAAGGTAATGCATGTCAGCAAATGAATTCCAAATTAAAAAATGCAGTGAAGGGTGATATGTGAGCATGTGATCTGTTAGGCAATGTGATAAATGCTTTATCTAGGTTTTATTTAATTACCAAAAGAGCCCTATGAGATAGCTCCATTTTGCAGACGAGGTTTAGGTTTTTCAGAGAGGTTCTGTAACTTGTCCAATGTTGCACAGCTATAAGGTGTTGGAGATGAAGTGTAGACTCCAGAGCCCATGCTCCTACCCATTCCATAAGGGAAATTACACCACTTGTGGGAAGGATGGATCTGAGAGGCTTCTCAATACCAACTATCTCTTAATTGGGGGTTTTTGTTTTACAATCTGTATTTGAAAGGACTTAAGAAAATTATGAAGTAAACTGGATGCAACTTCATCAATACATGAGGGCTTTTTTTTTTTTTAAGTATAGTTGACATACAATGTTACATTAGTTTCAGGTGTACAATATAGTGATTCCACAACTCCAAATTATGCTGTGTTAAAGATGAGGATCCTAGGTGGAAAAATTTCCTTTCCACATGGCTAACTATCAAATGCCTTTTAATAAGTAGTTGTGTGGAGTGACAGACCTTCCAGCCAAATCAAGCAAGCAGAACCCGTGTCCTCTAGAGACCTATCCATGTGACTATGCAGAGGACATGGATGTTTGAACAATGACCCAAGAGCAAATGCATTACAAGGCAAGATAAAATATTTACTCTGTATCAACCAGGCATTGGACTTTTCCACCAGAGCAGGCTTGAGAGGAAAAGGAAGAAGTCTTCCTGGAAGCAGTGGGAGACAAAAGTGAAGAATGGATGATGGATGCTACTTTGGGTTTAACTTTAGAGAGCAAAGATAGAAGGTCTGAGATAGAAGGATGGATGTTACTTTGGGTTTAACTTTAGTATATGTGCTGCCGAAGCGAGCACTGGGTTTAACTTTAGAGACCAAAGATAGAAGGTCTGAGGAGTGGGGCCAATTCCAGTCCAAGTTTTACTGGCCTCTTGCCTGGGACTATGTCTAACTCACCAATCGGAGGCCAGCGTCTTATTTCACCCGATGTTGGTCATCTTCTGCCCACTGGCCCAGGGTGGCCCACTGTCCTGGGATGCAGAGACAGGCTGTGTGGCAAGTTCCTCCTTTGATGGGCATAAAAGCCGGATCCTGTTATCTCCTGGCAAAGGTACTGTGTTCAGACCTCCCTATGTCCCCTGCACAGTTGAGGAGGCATCAGGTTTGTCTTGTGATGGTAGAACTCCTTCCTAGCAGCATTCTGGAGGAAAATTCCATGAATGCCTTCTAGATTTCAATGTGTCCTCTTGGCTTTATCCAATATACTTAATACATAGTAATCAGTCTGCAATATCCCAACAGTAAATTCCACTGCCAGTAACTCCATCCCCTGGCTTGTGTTTCGCTGCAGTGCATCATCACGTGGCTCTTACTTAGGCTCAGAGACATGTGCACAAGTCTCTTTCTTCAAAATTCACTTTGTTTATTCAACACTTATAAATCACTGACCATGTACCATGCACTATTCTGTTTTTCTACTATAGTAACTCATTTAATCTTCACTACAATTCCATGAGGTGTTACTACTATTTAGCAGATGAGGCACAGAGAGGTTAAGCAATTTGTTTGATGATGCACAGCTAGGAACTGGCAAAACTGAGGTTCAAACCTAGGCAGGTGGACTGCAGGGTCCCTGATCTTAACCCCTGAACTATGCTGTCTCCAGGAGACCTTCAGAGTGATCCCTGATGGATGTCTGTTAATATCATGAGAAGGACATAAAGCTCAAGGGAGGGCAAGGGAGGCATAGCCTCAGAAGTATAGCTGATCAAGAGATATAGAGGTGTTTTAAGAAGAAACTTACATTGCCCAGGAGGCCCAGACGCCCTCTCCCCAATTTAATGAGTGTTGGTCTCCGTTTGTGCCAAACCATTCATTTTTGCCTGCTGACAGTGGTTGCAGATTGCCTTCTTTCTGCGGCCCTTAAGTCTGGATTTTTAAGTAGGCTTTATTTACAAAGGAGTTTGCAGTATTAACTGTGTGATGTTCTCCTGCCAAATAAACTCTTCTTAGTCCTCTGCCTTCCAGACATTTCAACTAATAGAAATGCCAAAGCCGTTGCCCAACACACATGTACAACACCATGAAGGCCTTGTCTCTCATGCTTCTGGAGAAGGTGCACAGAATTCACATTGTAATCAGCTGGCAATGCTGTTGCAGAGCTCCTGGGGTCAAGATTGTCCACAAAGGGTTGCTTGGAGCAGGCAGTGCCCTAAAGAATTTGCCCACTTATAAAGGGCCTTTGTCATCTGATATTTGTGTAATTTATTTTTTTAAGGAAACATTTTTTTCACATGTATTATTCTATGGGATCCTCCAAACAATCCCATAAGGTAGAAGTTTGGGAAGAGATTATAGTCTTCATTTGGGAGAGAGGAAACTAAGGCACAGACAGGTGACTTGCCCAGGGTCACTCACTAAGGATGGCAGAGCCAAGGTTTAGTCTCAGCTCGACTGCCTTTGGCAAGTCACAGTATTTCTCTGGGTCTTGCTTTTCTTATCTATAGAGTAATGGTATTGGAATAGGGGCTCTGTAATTGTCTTTTCAACTCAACCATTGTGTAATACTGAAATTCAGAAGAATCCTTTTCCCTGAAAGATCTGGTTATCAAGACTCCTGAATTTCACATTTCCATCTGTCTTATTTGTGTCCATCCTGGGAAAGGACTTCATTATCTCCTGGTGAGCAGGGAGTGTATCTCTCCTATCTCCCTCCTTATACTATAGAGCGTTTTTTTGGAAGGGCTCTCTCTCCTATGCTCCGTAGGGACATCATTAGATTAAGGAGGCAGAATACTGTTGTAAGTGTAACAATGTATTTGCCTCAAAACCTGTGGCTTGTAACTTTTCAGTGCCCTTGATGATGATAATGATAGCTGAAATCAATACAGCAGGTACCATGAGTCGGGAACCGTACCAGATGGTTGACGTGTATTATCTTATTCTTCAAAACCACCCGAAGACATACGTATTGTTATCATTATTGCCACATTATGGAATGGACAGATTGGAGAAGTAGAAGAATTTACTCAGGATCACATACCTGATGAGGCAATGGACTCTGGATTCAATCCCATGCAATCTGTCAGCAGCGCTTAACTGCTACACCACACCCCATGGCTTCTCCTAGGAGAAAGGGGGATTGTACTTTGCACACATTTTATTTCCTTTAAAAACTTACTATGTAATATTTAAGACAGAAAAAAAGTCACATTATGCAGATAGTGTTTCCTCATTAATTATATATATCTCTGTATCTATTTATCTCTTTCTTCTGCTGCATGCCAAACACTGTCCTAGCATTTGGGATGTAGCAACAAATTCCTCCAGACAGACAGGGTCAGGAGGGAATTAAGGCAATATTAGAAAAGTCAGTAAGAGTTCATTATCCAGTGTCACCTATGTGTCCAGCATTATGCTCAGCAAGCGTAACTGAAATATCAGAAGACCCTTCTCAGAGGAAACCACAGAAAGCGACTTAGTTTGGCTTAGAAACTAAGTTTGACTTAGAGCAGAAGGAAGTCATTTAGTTTGGTACAAAGAAATGAATCTGTTTACAAGGACAAGGTAAAAAAAAAAGAATGCCATTATTTAGAACTGTATTTTGTAAGCATCACAGGCAAAAAGCAGCTAGGGTGGTGGTTTTGTGTAGTGGAAAAGGCTCTATCCCAGGAGTCAGTCACCCTTTAATCAATCAAGCACTTTCTGATAAGGTGTGGATGCTACTGAAAACCAGGTAGACAGGTCGCTGCCCTCCTGGAGATTATAGTCTGGTGAGAATAATCCCATCTTGAGTCACTGCCAGGCTCTAATGTGACCTTGGACAAATAACTTCTCCTGCCCCAATTCTGCAAAATAAATGGGGTCAGACTAGCGGATCTACTCCTCAAATTCTGAGCCCCAGGCGTATCTGCTGTCGCGGCGCCCTGGAGAAGGTGGGCTAGGCTCCCTGGCCCTGCGCCGCGGCCTGCCGGACGCCGGGGGCGCCGCGCGGGCCCTGAGAGCGTTCGCGTTCCGAAAGCGCTTGTCCCTCGCGGCGCCCCGTCGGCCCCGCCGCCGCTGCCGCCGCCGCCCGCGGAGCCGGAGGAGGCGGAGCTGGCGCTGTCCTGGCTCCCGAGCAGGGAAGCAGCAGAGGAGGCGGCGCGGCGGGCCCCGGCCGAGGCTCGGGCGGGGCGGCGGGGGAGGCTGGCAGCGGCGCCGGTAGCGCGGGGAGAGGGGCGCCGTGGGCTGAGCGCTCCCGGCGAGAGGAGTCCGCTCCATGCGTGCGGGCCGAGCCCGGCCCCTGCGAGCCGCCGACATGAAGAAAGACGTGCGGATCCTGCTGGTGGGAGAACGTGAGTCCGCGCACCGGGGCCGGCCGCGGCCACCGCAGCCCCTGCCGCCCCGGGCCTGCTCGCCCCTCTCCGCGCTCTCGGGCCTCCCAGCCCCTTAGCTCTTCCCTTTCGGCAGCCCGCTGGCGGCCCTCAAGCTCTCACCTCACCCTGGGCCCTCTTAACACATCCCGACCCTGACCCCCAGTCGTCCTCTCGAGCCTTGTCTCCGTGAGTCTCTGACCGCCAGCCTCATCTCTCCGAAGGTCCTCTCCTCCTTCCTCCTTTTCCGCTTCGAATCCTTTCCTCCTGGGCCTCAACGCGTTTCCGAGGCCGCTTGCCTTTCAGACCCTTTTCTCTTCGTGGAGAGTCCCTTGTCACTGCCGGGCAGGTGCTGAAACAGGCCGACTGACCAATTGGGATGGTGTGAACTGGCTCCCGGGGAAGCTAGGGGGAGGGGGACGCAGGACTGTTCGACTTGCGGACAAGGTCAGGTTTCTGCCTTTTTTTTTTTTTTTTCTTTTGTCTTTTTTTCTTTTTTCTTTTTCTTTTTCTTTCTCTTTCTCTCTTTGTCTCTTTCTTTCCTTCTTTCCTTCTTTCTTTCACGTTCGCAGTCTTCCCACCCTCTGGCATTGACTTCAAGGTAGGGAGCGTTTTTAGAGATACTTGCACTTTGCATTGGAATAACTTCTCTTATGCTCGCTGTTTCCTCAAAAATTTACTCTCAAGTTCAAGTTATACAAGTTACACAAGTGCTTAATGAATGAATAATTATCTGGGGAGGGTTCTTTAGTTGAGAGAATTATTCTTACCCTAAAGCCTAATTTACTCCCCTCTTTTTAAGCATTATTTATTCCGTAGTTTGGTAATTATTTTATAAATAACAGGCACACAGGAAAACAGACAATGCACATACACATAAGACCCCCTAGAAATTCTTAGATTTCACCCTTTTAAGATATAATAAAGGAGAAATGCCTCTGTTTACTGACTTGGGGACAGGACAACAGGGACTTCTTGATATCACTTGGCTGGTTACATGACTCATTTGGTAGGACTAAAATAAGAAAGTGGGCTGGGAGAACTGAATTGTTTGTTTGTGCATTAGTTAATGCTCTGCCATTGCTGTTTTGAAGCATTCTTTTCCAAACTCCATTTCAGCCTAGAGTAGCCCCTCCAGGTCACTGTGATGCACTCCCAAGGAAGAAAGCTAACACATTTTTACCCTTCTCTGTAGTGTTCTTTGATATTCGTTGAAGTCTCTGTTCATCTGCTCTGTGGAGAAGTCTTTAGAATCAGAATTTGGAAGTAAGCTTGGCCTGACACTGTTGTCTTTTGGGTTTGCAGTTGTGAATTTTAGTCTTTATTTATTATTGTATCTTAATCTGTATTTTGCATCAGTTTCCTTGACAAAGTTCAGGAAGGTGTTACTTAACATGTGATTCATAGCTGATGCATTTGGAATATGGTAGGGAAAGTGAGTAGACGAGCCACTTAAAAAGCTGATCCTTAACTGTCATAAAATTGTTTTATAGTATGGTGATTGTAATACTAATGTTCTAAAAGCAGAAATCCTATGTTTTGGTTTTAGTTTTAGGAAGCGTATAATTCGTCTGTGAAACATCTAAATGGAAATGCTATATATACGTAAGATATATTGACAGCCTTAGGGCATTTAAGTTAAAACGTTAACAGTATTACTTATTTAGAAATACACAAAAGAACCAAAAATTTGTTGAGAAAATTAAAAGCCATGTTCTGCAGATATGAAAGCAAACAGGAGAGTTGAGAAAAGTGTGCATGCAAGAGTGTTTTGATTATAGGGAGTTACCTGACCTAAGAGAAAGTCTTAGTTTTTGAGGAAGACATTTTTCTTGAAAAGGTTTGTACCAAAAGCTTTAGGCCAGCTACCGTATATATAATTTTTTTCACATTTAAAAATATTAGGATTATATTTATGTGAAGTATGTAATTTTAGTGAGTTATATTAAAGGTTGGTATTTTGGGAGGAAAAAGTTGGAAAGATTAGTTTTCTTTTTTTTAAATTCATTTTGAGAGGGAGAGAGTGCGCACGTGTGTGTACTTGTGCAACTGTGTGCACCTGATTGGGGGGGGGGGCAGAGAGAGAATCCCAAGCAGGCTCCAAGCTGAGCAGCACACAGAGCTCAAAACCATGAACTGTGAGATCATGACCTGAGTTGAGATCAAAAGTTGATGGATGTTCAACCGACTGAGCTGCCCAGGTGCCCCAGAAGCATTATTTTTTGAGATTTAATGTAAATATTTGTTAGCTTTAGCCTAGCTGCCCCACTTTAGATGCTAGGTAAACATAACTGTGACGAAGCCTATTTTAATACTGGTCTAACACATGAATTTATCTGGAAAACCACTTTTTTTTTTAAATTTTTTAACGTTTATTTATTTTTGAGACAGAGAGAGACAGAGCATGAACGGGGGAGGGTCAGAGAGAGGGAGACACAGAATCTGAAACGGGCTCCAGGCTCTGAGCTGTCAGCACAGAGCCCGACGCAGGGCTCGAACTCACAGACTGCGAGATCATGACCTGAGCCGAAGTTGGCCGCCCAACCGACTGAGCCACCCAGGCGCCCCTGGAAAACCACTTTTTTAGGTAGAAGTGGCAGTAACTTAGTTGTCATTTTAAGATGGTTAATTAAGAGAAATGGGAAAAGCAAACAAACAAACAAAATCCCCACATCATTTCTGGTATTATTGTAGAGCCTGTTCCTTTGCTTTCACTTCAGTACATCTTATTGCTGTTAGCATCTGTCCCAGAACCACACAGCAGCTGCTTCATTCACTGAAGCTCCCAAATAGTTGTGAATGGTTTCAACATTCTCTTGGCTAAACCTATAATGTCCTCCGAAGGTGAAACAGATCTTTTTTTGGCCCATCCAGAATCTGGATTCTGATCCATCCAGGCTTAAATGCTAACTGATGCTTACTGTCTGTTTAGTGCTTAGATCAAAGAAGTTAGATTGTCTATGAATTTTAAGGTAATTATTTGCAGAGAAAGCCAAAGTGTTTTAAAGATCATTTGCACCTTATCTTAATTATTGAACACAGTGAATACCATTCAGGCCATGTTAAAAGTCAGTTGCCATTCTTGAAACAAAACAAAATTTTTAAAATCATTAAAAATGCAAGCATGCAAAACAGTTCTCAGGTTATGATTTTTCATGGTCAGATTCTTTGGCCAGAATTTGTGTTTAACGATGTTTGCGTTAGTATGCTTAACAAATGTCCTTGTTGCAATAAAATTAGCATGAGCCTTAATACCCTTTTATCTAAATCATGTAGGTACGTTAAAATTACACAAGATTTAGTTTTAGTGAAGTCTTGTTTTTAAGTTGAGATATGTTTGTCTTCTGATCAAACTCATTAAGAAAGTGGAACTGTTACCCTCTTTTTGAATGAATCTGGTCAGAGGCACCTGGGTGACTCGGTTGGGCATGCGACTTCAGCTCAGGTCATGATCTCACAGCTCGTGGGTTTTTTTGTTTTCTTTTAATTTTATTTTTTATTTTTTAAGATTTACATCCAAATTAGCATATAGCACAACAATGATTTCAGGAGTAGATTCCTTAGTGCCCCTGACCCATTTAGCCCATCCCCCCTCCCACAACCCCTCCCGTAACCCTCAGTTTGTTCTCCATGTTTATGAGTCTCTTCTGTTTTGTCCCCCTCCCTGTTTTTATATTATTTTTGTGTCCCTTCCCTTATGTTCATCTGCTTTGTCTCTTAAAGTCCTCATAATGAGTGAAGCGATAGGATTTTTGTCTTTCTCTAATTTCACTTAGCATAATACCCTCCAGTTCCATCCACGTAGTTGCAAATGGCAAGATTTCATTCTTTTTGTCAAGTAATAACTCCATTGTATATATATACCACTTTTTCTTCATCCATCCATCGATGGACATTTGGGCTCTTTCCATACTTTGGCTATTGTTGATAGTGCTGCTATAAACATGGGGGTGCATGTGTCCCTTTGAAACAGCACACCTGTATCCGTTGGATAAATGCCTAGTAGTGCAATTGCTGGGTGGTAGGGTAGTTCTATTTTTAGTTTTTTGAGGAACCTCCATGCTGTTTTCCAGAGTGGCTGCGCCAGCTTGCATTCCCAACAGCTCATGGTTTTGAGCCCCGCCATCAGGCTCTGTGCTGACAGCTCTGAGCCTGGAGCCTGCTTCGGATTCTGTGTCTCCCTCTCCCTCTGCCCCTCCCCTGCTCGCTTGCTCTCTCTCTCTCTCTCTCTCTCTCTCTCTCAAAAATAAACAAACACTAAAAAAAAAAGTTTAAATGAATCTGTCACTCTTACCCAATGTCTAACTGATTAGCTTATCATCGAAACTAGTTGAAGCCACTACAAGCTTCGATTGGCTCTGGCCTAGGCTTTTGTAATATCTCCTTAACCAGTCTCCCTCCTTCTAATTTTGTCCATTCTCTATGTAGCAGGTAATCATCTTTAAAAAAATATCTCAGATCCTGTTACCCATTTTTAAAATTCTTTGATGATTTCTCCTTTCACTTAGAAGAAAGTCCAGACTTCTTTATGCAGGCCTGCAGACGCCATCACAGTCTGGCCCTTGCTTCACTCTTGTAGTACTGTCTACTGCTTTCTCTACAAGAAGGCCCTGACTCAGGCAGTTCTTGTGTGCATATTTGTTCACTTGTCTTTTGGGCTGGAAACTAAGCTTCATGAGGGTGGTGGATTTGCCTCGTTTTATTGCTGTATACCCCGTGCCTGGAATAGGCCTGTCACAAAGTGAGCACTCAAATACAGTTGACCTTAGGTGGCTTAGTTGATAAGCGTCTGACTCTTGATTTTTGACTCAGGTCGTGATCTCATAGTTGTGAGGTTGAGCCCTGCATTGGGCTCATGTTGGGCGTGGAACCTGCTTAAGATTCTGTCTCCCTCGGGGCGCCTGGGTGGCGCAGTCGGTTAAGCGTCCGACTTCAGCCAGGTCACGATCTCGCGGTCCGTGAGTTCGAGCCCCGCGTCAGGC